CAACATGTAAAAAAATATTATTATTAAAGCCCATCTCCTAGCAAAGAAGGAACTTACCCTGGCACTGGGGCAACCCCCGCACTGCAAGGGTTAAATGCTCTTTTTTTCTCTCTAGGTTTTACTTATCTGATCCTGACTCCCAAGGAGGTCAGAGCTCACCTCTCTTCCCTCCGCTCCAGTTGGAATTCCTCACATCTAATGCAGGTCAATGGACCTGCATAACGTGATGAAGTCAGCGATCCGTAGACTGCCCTAGGAAAGGGGAGAAGAGGCTGCAGGGACCAGTCTAGCAGCTTGGAGGGAACAGTGCAATTGTGCATTAACAGTGCAGGAGGTGCGTTTCATTGTCATTCATATGATTGACACCCCAAATGCACCTTCTGCCCACAATGCGACCAACTGTGCCACATGCACTACTTTTTTCAATTGCACCGCAACACATGGTATTGTGGTACAGCGTGGTGAGGCACAGATGGACGATCACATTGTGGACAGGAGGTGCCATTCAAATGATACCAAATACCAAAGTATCGTTGCTGATCAAGTTCATCCTATCATGTTGATGGCGTATCCCAACGGAGATGGCTTCTTCCAACAAGACAACGCGCCATGCCACGGTGCTCGTATTGTGCAGGAGTGGTTTCAAGAACATGAGGGAGACTTTACCTTGCTTAGGTGGCCCCCACAATCGCCAGATCTCAATCCAATTGAGCATTTGTGGGACAAAGTTGAAAGAGCCATCAGGCAGCTGGTTCCACAACCATCAAATCTCACAGAACTGGACAGTGCTATTCATCAGGCATGGTGTCAGATTCCGCGCATCACCTTTCAACATCTCGTGGAGTCAATGCCAAGAAGAATCGCCGCAGTGTTGAAGGCAAAAGGTGACCCAACGAAGTACTGATGGGGTGGTCATAATAATCTGGCCACACAGTGTATACCTATATATACATATTAGTGTACTCAACACAAAAGATATCTATCTATCTATAGATAAATAGATAGATAGATATCTTTTGTGTTGAGTACACTAATATGCTCAGTTTTATCTTTAAGGCAAATCATTCTTGGCTGGTGTCACAATATTCAATATGAATAAACAAATCCTACCACCATAACTTGAAATCTGATTTGCTGCTATGGATTATTACATTCAGTACTGCTTTGCTGAATAAGTTGTTTGTTGGAACCTTAAAAGTCTAGTGGAAAGTTCTAAGACAACAGTAAAAGAAGCTCAAATACAACACATTTCAAAGGTGACTGCAATTTACATATCTCACTCAGTTTGAAAAGTTCTTGTAGCATTTTTGCAGATCGCTCTGGAACGTACTGTTTGTGGTGTGAACCGGCCCTAAGACGGGAACCAATTAAGTTCCAGAAAGTCTTTGGAGTGTGGGAGGAAACCGGAGTACCCGGCGGAAACCCACGCAAGCAGAGGGAGAACATGCAAACTCCATGCAGGTAGTGGCCTGGCTGGGATTTGAACCCTAGTGCTGCAAGACAGAAGTGCTAACCTAAACCAATGTGCTGTATGGTCTTTCTAAGTTTGCATTAATTTCTTTGAAGTTTACTAGTTTCTTTTCAAAAACTAAAACACAGTGTACTCATAGGCTCATCAGCTTCCACACAAATTGGGCAGTGTGTGTGAGTGCTTCAACATCAGGGGGACATTAGACTGCAAGCATAAGGGAGTAAAGTGAATTGCTTTTCATTGCCAGCATTATATGAAATAATAAATAAATATGCTCCCACACATTGATGGAAGAAAGTTTATGGACAATTATGAGAATTCAGCCTATCAACTCAGTAGATCTCTAGACATCAGAGGATCATTACGACATGGAGGGTCATCATCACACAACTGATAAAAGACATACTACATCCTGACCATTTTCTCACAGACGTCTGGAACCTCACCATCCAATCAGTTACAGGGTTTGTCACAGCCAGCTCCAAACGTGTGGGAGTTACAATGTGGGTTTTAGTGATTTTTTTATGCTTATCAGAAAGAAAACAAATGGCTATCAAACGGCAGAAATAAATGTATTTCCAACCAGCAGCAGCTGGTAAGATAACAGCTCCATTGAATGCTTCTTTTACATAGAGACCCCTTCCTGTCACAGCAGAATTATCGATTTTAATAAGGCCTATTTCTGGGTCACTGGGGGTGAGGAACACATTAGCCAAGTAGCACCAGACTCTTTCAAGTTTTAGTTGTCATAATTAAAGCAATATTCCATGTGATGTACCATACGGTGTCAGCCCCATGCTGAGTGAGGGGCAGGATAAAATATGAACCTATCCTTTATTAGTGAGCTCTGGTTCCTGAGAACACTGCACCTCGCTGGTTTGACCCCAGTTCATGGGGAGGAGATAATTATAAAGGATATCAGGGGCCTTGTATGGGGTACCAAATACTGACAGGAGATCTCCTGTGAGGGAAGGAAGGAATTACCAGTTTTACATTCCTGCTCTTTCCCCAAAGATCGAACGCAGCAGAAGAGATTGGAGACCCCCCCCCCTTTCCCCAAAAGTAATGAGAAACATGACAATTACTGCAAGTTTTATGCATTACATCACTCGGAGTTTACACTCTAGGGGACCTTAACAGAGAGCACAGGATTGTGACATTAGCATGCTCAAAATGCCAAATGATATGAAGGAATCAATCTCTTACCATGTGACCTTTCTAAAGGAGCACAAAATGCTTACACTGCAAAAATCTCTATCTCCATTACAAATATGATATTCCAATAGCATACATGCGGTAGCAATATCTTTGTATAACTGCAATACTTTGCAGGAAATGTAAGAATTCCATTTGCTTGAAAAGAATAATGCTGGCCAAAGACACGCAGATTTTTTTTGACCCAATAATGATTCAATGTTTTTTAGTAAATTAAAACTTGTAGTATCTGTAAGAATCTCCCAGCATGGTAGGAAATCTCTTTTAGTAAACAGCAGAAGACATTTTGTCTGCTCCAGTTTTGATAAATTCCCTTCTGTAACTTTTATGGTCAGGCCAGATTGTAGAATAATCATGCATCTGTAGGCCCCACGAAGACATCTCCTGCAAGAACTCTCTTTGGTGTAGAGGCAATTGACTGGGTTTTATTTATCCTGGCTTGTTGCTATTGTACTCCCTTCACTTCCTGAGAGAAACCCTTGCCAGGGGTATCTGCTAAGCACTTTCCTCATAACAAGAGCCATAGGTGTGCACAGCCTATTACATTAGGGTGTGCACACAAAAGACCACTAAAGTACATTATGTAAAGGTCAATCAGTTTAGTCACCTGAATAATATCTTCTACATGTAGACATAAAAACTAATATTGAAAAATTGCCTGTCTGTAGGCAGGCAACAATTTCTTGGCTTGGTAAGCATTTTACATATTGGATCCTTTTATTATGTCTAAGATCTGCCCATGTTTGGGAAGGCCAAGCATAATTCTACGCTCAAATAAAATTGAAAGTTTAAAGCAGATCACCAGGCAAAACAAGTTATACTCACTCGAACCACTATCCTAGCTTGCACTTAGACCCCTCCCCTTCAGCCTCGTTCCCCCTTTGCTCCATTGGTCTAAGGCCTTGTGAGTCATCACATCCAGTACAATGTACTGGATATGAGGACACCTAGGGACATATCATCGCTGGAACAGAGGAAGAGGTGGGCTGGAAGGAGCAGTGTAAAGCTGCCCATACACCTTACAATTTATCTGCAGATTTTCTGTGGTCAGATGGAAAAGGTGCAACAGATTCCTCCATCTACGCTTAACTGTGTGGATGGAGTAATCTCCACCTGGGCCAATCTGTTGCACTTTTTCCATCTGACCACAGAAAATTTGCAGATAAATTGTAAGGTGTGTGGGCAGCTTAAGAGTCAGCTGGGATTGCAGTTTGGGTAAGTATACCTTTGTTATTTTATCTCCCTAGACAAAAAAAGAGCACTCAACCCTTGCAGTGCGAAGGATTAAGATCTGATTTGCCTGGAGTTCTTCTTTAATTCTGCTGGAAAATACTAGCAGAGAAGTCCAATATCCAAAATATGTCAAAACGAAAGGTAAATCTTAAAAAGAGACATGGTCACCATGCCCATTTAGGCTCAATTTACAAAGTTAAAAAAAAATCCAGAATATGGACATTCAATTTATTAAAAGTGACCGTTCTTTTAAACTGAGCCCAATAGAAATTGAAAATTATAGTCACATGCCTGAAAATGAGTAAACTTTTCCTTGTATGAAGCTTTGTGAATTGAGCCTATTGTCTTTTCAAAGCGTTCCCCTTTCCAACCTCTTTTATTCACTCCACCACTACTTTCCTCATTGCAGCTGGCACTAAAATCTGCAGTGTTGGACATTAGAGGGGGAGTGGTGACTTCACTCCTTTTGTCAAGTGACAGCACTTGGGCCTAGAGATTAGCTGCTGAACTTGGGCACTCTCTGATCGTGAAGTGAGATGCTCCTCTATGCCTAGCAGTACCGGGTATTGTTGCTGGTTGTGACAGTGGAAAGAGTTGTGAGTTCTGCCAAGATAAACATCAGTGGGTCAACAGAGGGCCTCTGCAAAAATATGGTTGAAGGAGGCAGTGTCTCTTTAAGGTATCTATTCTTTTTTTTGTTTCCCATGATCATGATGCATGTACTGGTCATTCTATGTTCACTACTTTGGGAGGTGAATTCAGAAGGCCCAGCAAATTTGGCTCTAAAGAACCTAGATGGACAAATCCTTGCAATAGGAAAATGAACGCTTAGAAGCAGTTGCAGACTTGCGGCATATCGCTTCTGCTAAACTGTCATCAAGCTGCTTTATGCAATTCACCTGGTACATTATGTGTCACCCTGTTCTCAGTGCTGGCAGAAGTTTAGTCTCAGGTAAGTAAATAGAATGCAATACAAACATGTCTCTCTATATAAGCCCTTACACACACCAATAAAACTGCAACACATTGTTGGGTTGTGTTCGAAAGAAAAAAACAAAAACAAAGTCAGCATAATTCCTACCTGAATCTGTCCTTTGCCCACAATCTTGTCCACAATCTCATTGTTGTCTTTGTTGAGCTTACTTTTATCATAGCACTTTTCATAACATAAGATTCGCAGATATTGGGAACCCTCCAGCTCGATTTCAAACTCCTATGAGATCAAAGAAGTCAGAGTTTCAATTGCAATGTTCGATGTAGAAAATGCTTCAGATATTTAGAATAGGTGCAGAGTAAGTGTCAAAATCCAGTCATAATTTTATTAGGCTGCCTCCCCCTCCCCCTACGGATTCATCCAGGGATTAGCACTTAGGGCCCATTTACACCAAGGAGATCAGTTGCGGTGTGTAAGTGTTTTGTATTAAGGAAGCCTATTCATTAGAATGGATTGCCCGATGCACCACGACTGATGGGACATCCTACCTGCTGAATTTCTGCTAGTGCAGCACACCACATGCACATACTGAACGTAGGTGCGTCATAGAGGTGCATTAAGAGGCTATTCAAAATGAATGGCACCACAGTGTACCAATGCACATAACATCCTAAATTTAGTTAACCTCCCTGGCGGTATGATTATTCAGTATTTTTTTTTGCCAAAGCGGTACATTGTTTTTCATGGAAATTTGTTGTTTTATATTGTAGGCCTGTAATTCTTAGTATATTTTAGGAATAACTCACCTAAATCTGTCCAAACAAGAGTCTAGTAGACATCCCGGATATGATGAAGTTTGAAACACGAAATTAAAAAATTCTAATATAATAAAT